TTTCCCCTCCCATCCATTCATGGCGGTGTCTAGTGATGCTTCCCTGTCTCGTGTGCTCCCTCCCTTGCAGCAGACGGGAGCGAGTCAAGCTTGACACGTTGTTTTTCCAGCTCCCCAGGACTGACTAGTATCGTTTCACGTCGTCCTGGCAAACGTGTTGACAGTTCGCGTCTCCCAACCATCCTAGCATCATCCCGATAGGCCTCTGAAATCATCCAGGGGCATCATGGAGGCCATCGACCAAAGAGGGGAATAGTGGCCTGCTTGACTCCTCTTTGGGCGCTTGCAGGGTCACTTGGACCTCTTGGAATCTCTTTGAGTCCTCTTTGAAGCCTCTTGGAAGTCTATTGGTGTGGTCGTGCGGCATTTGAGGATCCCCGCGGGCACCTGTCCGTGACTCATCTTGGTCGATTTGGGCTACCTTCCCCCCGTCCCTCCTCTTGCCGTTGTGAAAAGGCGCGGTTTGGGCAGTTTTCGGCCTCCAGGGGCCCATCACTGGGCCCCAGGACCGGCAACGAACCATATGGGACGACAGGCAGGTCTAGGTCGCAGGGAAAAGGTTTGGACCTCCAAGGGCCCTCGTTTCGCAAGAATCACGACGGAGAAATTCGGGTCCCTCCCTCCTCCTTCGCCCAGGTTTTTCTCGCTCGTTTTGCACTTTCGACCTCTCCGCAGGCTGGACATGTGGTGCAACCTCGGGTTTGGCACCGTTCAGACCATGTTCAAGCCGGGACCTGCCCCTGTCGATGTCGCCGCCGCCGACGAGAGGGCCGAGAGCGCCACAATGAAACCAGACGCAGGAGATGAGAATCATGCCGAACGGGAGCGCGAGGCCGTGGAGAAGGCCGAGGCGAGAACCGAGAGGCTGCCGGAACCGAAGGTGGAAGTGGAGGCGGAAGCTAAGGGGACAGCGGAGGCGGAGGCCAAGAGGCAAGCGGAGGAGGAAATGCGGGCGGAAGCCAGGGAGCGGCAGGAGGACGAGCTGGCGGAGGCGGAGGTCGCAGCCAAGGCGCATGCCGAGACGAAGGCGCGTGCGACGGCGGAAGCCGAGAGGCGAGCGGAGGAGGCGGCACAAGCGGAAGCCAGGAGGCAAGAGGAGCTGGAGGCGAGGAAAGCGAGTCTCGAGGCGGAGAAGGCGAAGCTCAAGGCTCAGATCCAGGCGGAAGCCAGGAGGGCAGCGGCAGCGAAGGCCGAGGCCAAGAAGGTTGTCCTCATTTTGCTTCTCCTCCGCGATTGCACGAGGTGAATGTTGCCCAGTGTGGGCTCCAATCGACATGTTATTTCACCCTCGATGTGCAATGACGTTGTGCAAGCTATGTGATATGTCCTGTGTCTAGTGCAGGCATGTATTCCTAACACATACACGTATATCCACTTATACACACGTGCATACGTGCAGACATGTGTAGGAAAGAGCTCGCCGCGGGAGACGCGAAGAGCGAAAGAGGGGCCCGGGCTTCGAGCTACCCCCCCACCTTCCGTCCACCAGGGTGGGGCGAGGGCCTTCTGAAGCTGCCCCCCCTCAGCTACCTGGGCGTCGTCGTCGTCGTTCGTCGTCGTACTCGTCGTCGTCGTCGTCGTCGTCGTCGTCGTCGTCGTCCGTCGTCCGTCGTCCGTCGTCCGTCGTCCGTCGTCCGTCGTCGTCGTTGCCGTCGTCGTCGCCGTCGTCGTCGTCGTCGTCGTCGTCGTGGTCGTCGTGCTTATCGTCGTCGTCGTCGTCGTCGTCGTCGTCGTCGTCATCGTCCGTGTCGTCCGTCGTCTTCGTCGTCGTGGTCTCCGCGGCTTGGCCACGTCGAATACAATAGAGTACTTTTTTCCCCAGCCCTCCGTTGTTGGGCTTTCGTTTTGAATAGAGCATTGCGGCTGCGTCCCTCTTTCCTCCCGCCCGCCTCCCTCCTTTCTTTTGTTTGTTTTTATGTGTTTCTCTCTCTCTCTCTCACTGTCTATCTCTCATCCCTGGGGGCTGAGATAAGCGATATGCGAAGCTGTCGCTACTTTCGAGGGCTGCTGCGGGGGCAGCGCAGTGTCGCCACCTTGCCATCCCTGTGTGTGTTTTTGTGTTTTTGTGTGTGTGTGTGTGTGTGTGAATGTGTGTGTGTGAATGTGTGTGTGTGAGTGTGTGTGTGTGCGTGTGTGTGTGTGTGTGCGTGTGTGTGTGCGTGTGTGTGTGTGTGTGTGTGTGCGTGCGTGCGTGCGTGCGTGTGTGTGTGTGTGTGTGTGGGTGTGGGTGTGCGTGTGCGTGTGCGTGTGCGTGTGCGTGTGCGTGTGCGTGTGCGTGTGTGCGTGTGTGCGTGTGTGCGTGTGTGCGTGTGTGCGTGTGTGCGTGTGTGCGTGTGTGCGTGTGTGCGTGTGGTGCGTGAGTGCGTGTGTGCGTGTGTGCGTGTGTGCGTGTGTGCGTGTGTGAGTGTGTGCGTGTGTGCGTGTGTGCGTGTGTGCGTGTGTGCGTGTGTGAGTGTGTGCGTGTGTGAGTGTGTGCGTGTGTGCGTGTGTGCGTGTGTGCGTGTGTGCGTGTGTGCGTGTGTGCGTGTGTTCGTGTGTGCGTGTGTGCGTGTGTGCGTGTGTGAGTGTGTGCGTGTGTGCGTGTGTGCGTGTGTGCGTGTGTGCGTGTGTGCGTGTGTGCGTGTGTGCGTGTGTGCGTGTGTGCGTGTGTGCGTGTGTGCGTGTGTGCGTGTGTGCGTGTGTGCGTGTGTGCGTGTGTGCCGTGTGTGCCGTGTGTGCCGTGTGTGCCGTGTGTGCCGTGTGTGCCGTGTGTGCCGTGTGTGCCGTGTGTGCCGTGTGTGCCGTGCGTGTGTGTGGTGGTGTGTGTGTGTGTGTGTGTGTGTGTGTGTGTGTGTGTGTGTGTGTGTGTGTGTGTGTGTGTGTGTGTGTGTGTGTGTGTGTGTGTGTGTGTGTGTGTGTGTGTGTGTGTGTGTGTGTGTGTGTGTGTGTGTGTGTGTGGGGGGGGTCTGCGAAACTGTCGCCACGTTCGAGGGCTGCTTGGGGTGGCCAGAGCAGTGACGCCATACGCGGACTCAGATTGGACCTCGCCATCCCTGGGGCGGCTGTGATCTGCGGAACGGTTGCAGCTTTCGAGGGCTGCTGGGGGAGGCCAGCACAGTGGCGCCAAACGCAGGCTCAGATTAGACCTCGCCATCCTTGGGGGGGGTGCTGCGATCTGCAAAACTGCCGCCATGTTCGGAGGCTGCTGAGGGGGGTGGGGGCAGCACAGTGCCGCCATACGCGGACTCTGATCGACCTCGCCATGCCCTGGGAGGCTGCGATCTGCGAAATTGTCGCCACGTTTGAGGGCTGCTGGGAGGAGCAAGTACAGTGCCGCCATGCGCGGACTCAGATTAGACCTCGTCATCATTGGAGGGCTGCGATCTGCGAAACCTGAGCCACGTTCGAGGGCTGCAGGGGGGTCCAGCACAGCGCCGCTATACGCGGGCTCAGATTAGGCCTCGCTATCTTTGGGGGGCTGCGATCTGCGAAACTGTCGCTACGTTCGAGGGCTTCTGGAGGGGGGGGAGGGTAGCACAGTGCCGCCATACGCGGACTCAGATTAGACCTCGGCATCCCTGGGGGGGGGCTGCGATTTGCGAAATTGTCGCCACGTGCGAGGGCTGCTGGGGAGTCCAGCACAGTACCGCCATACGCGGACTCAGATTCGACCTCGCCACCCCTGAGCGGGCTGTAATCTGCGAAATTGCCGCCACGTTCGAGGGCTGATGGGGGAGGGGGGGGGGGGCAGCACAGTGCCACCATACGCGGACTCAAATTTGCGAAACTGTCAACACTTTCGAGAGTTCCTGGGAGGGCTGGCACAGTGACGCCATACGCGGACTCAGATTAGACATGGGAGGAGTGATAGCTGGCGCCGCCCCCTCCCGGCGCTGCCCCTCGCGTGGCGCCCTCTCTCATCTGTAGATGCGTGTGTGCAATACGTACTGGCGCAAACAAGCCACACTCCCACCACCCGCAACTTGTTTTGCAAAACCCATGCGGCCGCGATTGCAGTAACTGCTTGGCACTGGTTGGCGCATCTGCAACCGCGCTGGCGTGCGCATCCTCGCGCGCAGAGTTGCCAGCTGGGCTGGCACAGCTGCTGCGGCCGCGGTGCGCTTACGGATGGGCACTTCTCAGTGCATCGCACAAACCGCGGTGGCGTGCGGGCGTTTCAGTGCGGGTCGGTGGCTCGGGTGGGCGCGGTCTCATGATGATGTCGACAACGGCGACAGCGACGACGATAGTAGCAACGGTGGCGGCGACGAGATCGTTCTTACCACCATCGGCGTCATTGTATGTTGGAAAGCATTAGGTTTCCCATCTGTTATTGTCCTCCTCCTCCTCCTCCTCCTCCTCCTCCTCCTCCTCCCCCTCCTCCTCCCGAATAACTATTGCGGCTTCGAAACCCAATGTTGTTGGACGGAGTTCGACACGCGCGCGTGGCGGCGAGCGCGCGTGGCTCGCATTGTACGCTCGGGTGCGGATTCGTACACGGGGCGCATGCCAGAGCAACGCGGTTGCTCCCCGTGGTGAAGTGAGTGCGGGTGTCGGACGACACTGCTCAAGTCAGATCGTGCCCTGTGATTTCAGCAAGTGCGCGCGGGCAGAAAATCTGCAACAGTTGGAACGAACATGCTTACAAAGCGAGTGTGCTCGGTACGAGGTCGACGTGTGCGCGCGTGTGGACGTTGTGTCGCTTGTGCACGGGATGTTTGACGTACTGCTTTTTGACAGGAGTGAGCGCGCGCAGCGTGTTATTTGACGGGGTGGGGATGGAGTCGATATTGGCCTGGGTGGGTTGGTAAGGAGCCGTTTGGCAAACGAGCGATGAGACATAAGCAGATGCAAACTGCAGCGTCCCGGCGGGCTCCGAGAAGTCTGGGGAGGACATGGCCGTGGAACGATGTTTGTTTTTTGACGGGAGAGCACATGTGGTGGAAGCTCGGCTTTGCATTCAGTCGGGCCTGTCCCCCTACAGGGGGAACGTTCAAAAACAGGCAGAAGAGTCAAAAAATAGTACGGGGACCATTTTTTGAGCATTTCGGAGCATTTGGGGGGGCACTTTTGGGAGTACTTGTTTGTTCTCCGCCCGAAATCCCCCTGCAGGGGGGCAGGCCCGACCTGAGCTTGGCAGCGCACGGGGCGCCCGCGAGTCGCCCACGGGCGAGCACCGTGCGAACCTCCGGCGGACCCGCCCAGCGCCCAGGGGCGGCCCAAGGGCGGCCACCCACCAGGCACCAGGGCGAACCAGGCGAACCAGGCGGGCCATTCTCGTTGCCTCCTCCTGCCTCGCGCTCCTCTTCCACCCCCTCTCGCCTCGCTCGCCGGTCCTTCCTGGCCGGATTTCGTAGGGTGGGCTCCCGCTTCCCATCCGTCGGGAAGCTGGCAGGTTTCATCCTCAAGGGCTCTTGCAGGGGGAACAAAAAAGAACAGGCGAACCCCAGCGCATCCGTCCAAGTCTCTGGTGGTGGCACAAGCAGGAGCTCCCAAGTAGTTCAAGCACGTCTGGGGAATTCTGCTCCCTTCTCGTCCCCGATCCGCCTCCCGCATGTTGCGTCTGTGCTCCCGTCGTGCAGATTTGCCGCTCTCGTCCCAGCGCAGCCCACAATGCTGGATCCGACTCGTTCCTTGTCTCTGCCGTCCCTTTCATTTTCACTCCTCCGCCTTCCCACTGTCCTGCTGCTCCTCCTGCCCCCGCTCCTACTCCTACTCCTTCCTCATCGTCTTGCTCATCCGCCGCCTTCTATGTGTGTTCTATGCATCGCCGATATTTCTGATTGCGCGTCACACGATGGCACCTCTGTGGGGATTAAGGCCTTCTATATTACCCCGACTGGAGCAAAGAACATACCCAGCGCAGCGGGAAGGAATCGGCGGGAGGGGGGGCAGGACGTCAGATACTGCGTGCGCGCAGTTGGGATGTCCTCATCCTCCTTCTCCACCTCCTCCTCCTTTCGCCTCTTCGGATGCAGCTCCTGGGAGGTCAAATTCAGTGTCGGCGGTAGTATACCCCTGGTCGAAAACTGGCGTACTCAGGAAAATTCCCGTTTAATCCGACTTGATCCCGCTTAGTCCCGCTTAATCCCCCGCTCAATCCAGCCAAATTTGGCTCAATGGCCCCCTCACTCCGTTTTCGTAGCCCTTGATCGTTTTTACAGAAACCTACCAGGAGTTGTGCGAAGACCTCCCATGAGTTTCTTTCAAACTCCCTCGGGCGGGGTTTGGACACGGGTCAAATCGTTCCAGAGCGTTTCGGAACGCTCGCAGAGCGTTCCGGAAAGCTTTGAGAAGGCCGCGGCGCCCGATGCATACTCCAGAACCTCCAGATCTCGGAGATCCCCGATTGATCCCTGTCCGATGCTGTCTTTGCCATGGCTTCGTCTTGCTCCCCCTTCCGCGCCCGAGGCCGAGGCCGAGAGGAAGGCCGCCCAGGCCCAGGCTCAGGCGGCCGAGGCCGCGGAGCAGAGGGCCCAAGCCGAGGCGACCAAGGCCAGGAGGGAGGCGGCCGCGAAGGCCGAGGCCAGGGATGCGCTGCTCCCGATATTTTTCCTCCTCCTCCTCCTCCTCCTCCTCCTCCTCCTCCTCTTCCTCCTCCTCCTCCTCCTCCTCCTCCTCCTCCTCCGCCTCCTTCTCCTCCTCCTCCTCCTCCTCCTCCTCCTCCTCCTCCTCCTCGACTCCTCCCCCCCCCCTCCGCTTCCTCCTCTCCCTCCCTCCCCCTCCAGCCACGTGGACACAACCAGGAATAGGGGATGGCCGTGTCTCGCGCGGCCGCGCCACGGCCGATCCGTTCTGGTGCCCCCCCCCCCACCCTGCAGCCCCGCGGCGCCCTCAGGAGCATGATGATGCGTTTCCTTGCCCTGCTGTTGACCATGCGCGCGCTCTACTGGAACCCGCTGAGCCTCTCAGACAGGGACCGCGCGCTTGAGATAGCCTACGAGCAAAGGCGGGTCGACACCCTCATCCGTGTTGACAGGCAGAGAATGACGAGTAAGACCTACGACTTCGGGGATATACCACATATCAGGGTCGCGCAGGCAGAAAGGATGCAGTCTTTCCAACAGGGCATGTGGAGTGAGCCTCTACCTGCACAAGGCCACGATCCGCACGAAACATATCATAATAGTTTGGACCCTGTACTGGCATTTCGGGGGAGAGCCAGGCGCCAATCGAACCAAAAGCAACACATACGACGTGACGGTAATGGCTCTGTACGTTTGTCCAAAAAACCGAAACGGAAGAAAACGAAAGAGGATCAAGAACGCCACGCTGTGCCTGGAGGACTTTGCCTCCAACCTTCTGACTACATTACCGAGCAGGACCACCCCCATCATCGGCACTGACACGGACGACGGCGTTGGATGGGCTATAACTACAGCGGGCATACAGCGAATGTACTCGACCAGCGTCGAACCTCACTCCAGAGCGGAGGACATGGCAGGCACACGGCTCAGACACCTGGCAGAAACCAACGACACGTCGATCGCGGATGCATCCGTCAACATGGACCCCTGCTATCAAGGACGGCAAGGGCGCGAAGCATCATGTATCACGGATCGACCACATGTTGATTCCAAGGCCGACGATTAGCTTGATCACGAAGTTCCGACAGGCATGCAGATCGACAAGGAGACTTCAAGCGATACCAGATGCACAAGCACAAGTCCGCGACCGCATGGCGTATTTTATAGAGTTCGACGGCCAGCTGTACTACGACAGCGGCGACGACAGAAAGATATAGGATTTCCCGAAGCTTGCGGCCGCGCCCAAGACGGAGTTCCACGCCAGCTTGAGAGGAAGTGTACAAAACGACTGTTCAGCACCTCGCTGACACGGGCGACAACGACGTCGGCGACCTCCTGGTGAGCTACGAGTCCATGGAGACAGGCTTGGGCTGATCGCCATGCAGCAAGCCGCGGGCAAGGACTTGTTCGCGGCAGCTCCAAGGGCGGCTCTCGAGAAATACCAGAGACTTGCAGAGCGACGGGCTTCGTCGAGAAAGCGGGCGAACGAGATTCACACTTTCCACCGCCATGCGAGGATCTGGGGGAGGCCGCGGACGACTACCGGCGCAAGCCTCGCGAACTACGACGCGCGCGAAGGAGGCGAGCTGCAGCGCAGTGGCACGTTTCACTGGATTCGGGCGGCGCCACTTTCAACGAGGCCAAACACGGGCGACCGCTCTGCCGGGCTGGGGGCGCCGCCCCCGCCATGGGACACGACGAACCTAGGGCGCTGGGCGATTGGCGCCCTCGCGCGGGCGCGGCGGCATCGGAGGCTCGCGGCCGCGCGGGGCGTTCTCAGGCGCGCCAGGTTTTGAAAGCGAGCGGGGAAGACGGCGCAAGTATAATGCGACCGCCACGCGGGACACGTTTATTCGGCAAGGCGTGGGTCAAGACGGCGGGCCGAGAGGGGCGCGTCATTTTTGGCCGCGACCACGGCCATCTACCGCCCAGATCACGAACGGGAGCGATAAGAACCACAGCATGTCTAACGTAGGAAAAGAGAGGCCGGGGGGTCAACGGTGGACGCGAACCGCGACGCGCAGAACGCGCTCGCATCGGCAGCGCACGCACGCGCGCAGCAGGACGGAGCAACGCGACGACAGCACGAAGAACGCGCCCCCCCCCCCCCCCTTCATACAGCGACGACGGCGCGCGCATTTCCAGATCGGATCTGAGGACCAGACCATCGCGACGCAGAACGGCGTAGGCAACTACGCGGGGGACTCGAGCGCAGCGGGGCCTTCCAGGAGGCATCCGCTACACCGATCAGGCTGGCAAGCGATGCATCACGGGCGATGCCCGGGCGAAGTGGCGGCAAGTCGCCCCGCGGGAGGCGAGATAGCGGACCCGTCGCCGGGGGTCTTCGCGGGCGACGCCAACGAGACGCACGACGCGATCAATCTTGGGCACAGACCGAAGGCGACGCATCTCCCAGACACGAAGCTGAACGCTCAGGGACACGGGCGCGTCGCAGAGCCGAGGCGAGAAGGTTATCCTTCCACGCTGCGCGGGGCCCGCGGCCAACGCCGGCGCCCGCGGCGCGCTCCACGGCGAGGGCGGCGGCGCGCCGAGACTGGCGGTTACGGGGGCCCCCCGCTTCGCAACGACATCCACGGCCAGTGGGAATCCACGGCCAGAGAGGTCGAGGCGGGGCGCGCGGCGGCGCGACGGGGGCGGCGCCGCGCGAAGCGGTTCTGGACTACCTGGCAACAACGGAAGAGGCACGGTGCTAGGAGCTGCTGCATCGGGCGTCGCAGAGCCAGCGGCTCAGACAGCCGCGCCGCGAAGCTGGGCCATCAGCGCCTCGGTCGGCCAAGCGCCGCTCGACGGGGCGGCGACGAGGGCAAGGGTGGGCGACGGCGCGGGAGGAGAGAGCGCGGAGTGTCGGGGGCCCCGCCGGCAATCCAGATCTGGAGCAGGCTTGGGGCGGCACCGATTGGCATCGCGCCGCGAGTTCAACGCGTCGAAGAATGGCGCGCCACGGCGAGGCGACCAGATTGGCGCAATCGGCAGGTCGGCAGGCAGTCCCCGGGGGCCTCGAGATGGAGCTAGAGTAGGAGGTGGAGAACGCGCCCCGCCGAGCAAGACATCGAGGACTGAAAGGCGTGGGCCCCAATGCTTGCGCTCTGAGGCACTGGGCGGGCAAGTGCGACGTCGCCCCCAGACTGGTCGGCCTCGTGGAGACGATGGGCGGCGACGCGGGTGGCGACGCAGGTGGGTTTGTCAGACGAGTTGCGTAGGAGTTGAGTCGCTTCTCGGGACTGCGCAGACCGACCGCTTGCTACTCTGGGTGGGGCGAGCTGCTGGATCTCGCGAAGTCGCGGCTAGAATCTCACATCTCCGACGCCTCCATCGACGTCGACCGCGCGCGCTGCATCGACCGCTTTAGCGAGGAACTGTGCACTTCGGCAGTCCCCATCGAAGGCTCGGCGCCGAAGAATGGGTTCGACTTGCCGCGCAGCGCCCCCCTGGGGAAGCGCGCGGATACTGGGCGCGCGTACGCTCTCAAGAAGGTGGCCTACCAGAGGTAGATCCCGCTCGCGGACCCCTCGCGCCGTGGGGCGGTTCAGAACGCCACGCGGGCGGCCAACACTTACGCAGTCGAGATCATCGGCAAGAGCGGTCAGGCAGGTGTTCTCTCTCAGGAATGGGCCATGGAGGTCTAACAGCTCAAGGAGATGCACGCGCTCATGACGTCGAAGGTCCAGTCGTTCCTGTCAGAGCCTGCGCGGGCGGACAACTACAGCAGTTACTTGGCTGACCTCTTCTGCGACAAGCTCAGCGCGGTCGGGCTGGCCGTCGACCTCCAGGCAGAGGGCAGCGACGCGGGCCAGCAGGTGGCCAGCGACACAGGGCACGATGCATTCGTGGCTTTGCGTGCGGCCTATACAGAGAGTGGCCGCGAGCTCTGGAAGACGAAGCTGCAGCTCGACAAGGGCGACACTTGGAGCGACGTGTCGGCCCAGACCAGGCGCGCCCAGTTCTTCCTCATGGAGACGACGACTGCCGACCTTCATGGACATCGGGCAGATGCTCGAGGACTGGAAGGGGGCGGCCATGGCCAAGGCGAGGACGCAGCTCGGCAAGTTCGCAGAATCCGTGGACAACCAGGAAGGGCCACGGGGGGGCATCGGGCGCACAGTGCCCCATGCGCCCCTCGTCGCGTCCTCTACTCAGCTCAGGTTTAGGCTGAGTGGGGGGGGCGGCGCGGGGATCGCATTGGCCGCGCTCATCTTCTGCGCCCCTCTTCAGGAGGCATGGCCAACGGATCCGACTGCAAGGGGGCGCCGCGCAGATGGCGGATCTAGCCTGGGAGGCGATCGTCGAGATGGTCGAGGCGGCCGCGCTCTCTTCGCACATGCGGGGCACGAGCAAGAGGCCGCAGACGCCCCGCGCCAAGGCGCTCGAGAGCACCGCCCTGCGCGAGGCCGAGGCGCCCACATTTTTCCTCAACGTAGCAGCGGGCGATTTTGACAACGCAGCGGTGCTCAAGATCCGCGGCGGCATCCGCTCAATCGACGCCGCCCTGAGCGAACGCAAGATCGCCCGCAACACCCACCGAGACACCAAGAGGGGCCTGGCGCAGAGGCAGTCCCGCGTCGACGAGGAGCTGACCAAAGCAGGTGGCTCGACAAACCCATCTTCGAAGCTCAACCTGCGCGCGGCCATCAAGGCCAAGGCGCTCGAGTTCATGCGGGCTTGATTCCGCGCGGTGGCATCGCCCTTGTTGAGTTCTGACCGGCCTGGTTCCATATGACTTTGCCGCGAGGGTTCTCGCGGCCACAGCTTCTGTCGTAGTCGGCCAACCGTCGCGAGGGCACGGGCTGCTAAACAGCACGCCCCATCAAAGTCATCACCGTCACCACGTAACACATGAAGGGTATGGGGCACGCAGAAGGGTGGCCGGGGATGCGGCGGAGGGGGCAAAACTTCATTCTAGAAGGTCGCTGCGTGAGTTGCTCTATCCCGCGTCGTCCACCGTGCGAGCCAGTGCCCTCGAAGGTCCTGGCGAGGCCCGCCCAATCCGTAACGAGGCCGCTTTGATCCCCACGCGCGGCGCACTCAATGGTGCAACCTTTGTCGGGCAGTCTAGGTGCGCGCGATAAGGCTTGTGGCTCTGCAGTTTGGCCAACGTGGTGCAAGTTCGGCTACTCGGTGAAACCCATGTGGTGTCCATCCGTCGCCACCTCCTCTTTCCTCCTCCTGCTCGTGCCCTCCAATATGCTTAGGTCTCCCTTTCTCCCTTTGTCCTCCGCCCCCCGTTCCTCCCCTTCTGTCCAGCCCCGCCCTTGCCTTTCTTTCGCCCTTCCCCTCTTCCCCTCCTCTCATCCCTTCGCCGCCCCCGCTCCTCATGCCCATTTCGTTACCCCTTGTTCCCTCCCCTTCCCCCTTCCCCTCTTTCCGCTGTCTTCTCTCTCCCCTTTTCCTTTTGCCTGTCGCCCAAACCCCCTGCGCTCGCCCCCGTCTGTCCGTCTGGCGCTGCGCAGCCGCGGGGGGGGATGAATGTTGATCCGCGGAAACCCGCTAAACAACAGAGAATTGAGGTGTCCATTTTGTGCGCCACGCTCGTGCGGGGAGCTTCTGGCTGGACGACCTTCGAGCCCATCAGGGGCCCTCGTAGCCACCAGCGGTCGACCATCTCTGAATCATATCTGGGGGATCCTGGTTTAGCTGGGTGCCGCAGACTTCTAAATAAGGAACAGTGATCACCCCCCTGAAAAGGAAGAAGGAGGAGTGGAAGAGGAAACGCCGTAAACAACCTACGCCCAGAGGGCTGGTGGGATTCATTGCCGGGCCCGTGGGCCGATCATGTTCAGGTGGACTACAGGTTTTGCCCGACGTGGCGCCAGTTTTAGCTGACAGGTTTTCAGCTCACGCCCGGCTGCTCGCCAAGGCAACGCGAGCCACCGCAGCTCTCTTTCGGACCACGGAGCGGGCCGGAAAAGATGAGCGGGCCAGGCAAGGGACGGAAACGGGCAGGAGAGCGAGAAGCCGAGGAGCCAGAAGCGGAGGGGGAGAGGGAGGCAGGACGACAGGAAAAGATAGACTGGACCGACAGACGGGGGGACGGAGACACGGGAGGCGGGGCTTTCGGGTTCATCGGCGTCGCACCCAAAAAAATCCCCTGCCCTCCGCCGCCACGCCCGAGGCCGAGGCCGAGGCCGAGGCGGCCCGGGCCAAGGCTCAGGCGGCCGACGCCGCAGCGCAGAGGGCCCAGGAAGAGGCGAAGGAGGCCGGAGCAAAGGCGCGACCCCACCCCCCGCAAGCCGAGGGGGCCGGTTTGTCCACGCACGGGCGACGCCATTGAGCGGGCCGTCTGCGCCGACCTTGGCGCGCGAGCTGCCCGAGCGAGGTCGCCCGCGAGCGCCCTCGGCTCCGCTGGCGTGGCGTGCCGTGCCGGCCCAGGGAGGCCGTGGCGTGAGGTCGAGGCGTCGCGTCGCGTGAGGCCCGTGTCTTGCCGCCGCTCCGTGGAGACGCCTGCCATCGGACAGGGCCAGGAGCACGCCCCCCGAGGGGGCCCCACGCAGGCCCCCCGGAGGGGGTCGGAGCAGGCCCCCCCCGCCCCCCCGAGGGGCGCCGGAGAGGCTCTCCCGGAGGCCCCCGAGAGGCCCTCCGAGGTGGGGGTGTCCGAGCGTGTTCGTGTCGGAGGTCGGCGGCCTCCAGCCTCGGGGGGTGCTCTCCAGCCTGCCGCGTCTCGCCGAGAGGCGTCCGGGGGCGCCCAGGTCGTCCCGAGCGGCCGCCGGAGGCCCGCGCGACCCGCAAGCTGGAGGAGGAGGAGGAGGAGGAGGAGGAGGAGGAGGAGGAGGAGGAGGAGGAGGAGGAGGAGGAGGAGGAGGAGGAGTGAGGAGTGAGGTGGACGGCGAGGATCACCGGAGGGGCAGGCTCAGGGAGGGCGCATCGACCCCCAGTCGCCCGCTCGTCGCCGAATGGGAGCCCGAGGGCCCGATGCCGCCCATCGGGCCGGACGAAAGGGGGGGGCTGGGAAAAGGGGGGGTTACGAAGTCTGCTGCATGCAGCTGGTTTCGGCCCCACCGAGGGGCCCGTTCCTCGATATACATGGCCGCCTCCGGCGCCGAGAGGCGCCGGGAAAATCAGCTACGTGAGCTGATTCTCAAACCCCCCTTTGCTATCCCCCCCTTTCGCCCGGCCCGAGCCCAGGACCATGCGGATTCGTTCTCGGGGGCCTGCCGCCGATCTATCGGCGATGTATCGTCGATTGCAGGTCTACGTTTCCCGCCCTGAGCCAGCCCCCCGTCGATTGCAGGTCTACGTTTCCCGCCCTGAGCCAGCCCCCCCCCCCCTCTGGTCTGGTTCCCAGTTGTGCCGAGGGGGCGCGCGGCAGAGGTGGCGGAGCAGGAGCTCCAGGGGCCATCACGGGGCCTCAGGATTGTTGAAAAAACGGCCCAGGATGAAAAGCCGGTCCCCGGGAGAAGGTCCAGACCTCCCGGGGCCCACGTGTAGGAGCAGATCACGACATCGGAGCTCTGAGGTGCCCGAGGAGGAGAAGAAGCTTCCAAGGGGGCCCGTGGTTCGGTCGGTTCGTCTACGTCGCAGTCGGTTGCGTTCGGTCGGTCCGGTCCGGTCCGGTCGGTTGCTGCTCCTCTGCGTCCTCCCAGGTGGCGGTCGACCCATCGGTTTCGGTCAGTTCTCGTTTCGCTGTCGGTTCGGTCGGCTTTCGGTTCTGCTGTCGCCGTGGACGCCTACACGCCACAATCGCCATTATGCATCTATTCGAGTTTCTTGTTGGTCTTTCTCGGCCGTGGCCAGACTCGGCGTGGCCAGATTGTCGTGCCCTCTCTTGGGAAGTGTGGGGTCCATTCGCCATTGCCACCCACCACGAAACAATCGTCATCGACCTCGGGGCGCGGCACACGTTGGGCGAGGGCTTGCATCTGGGAGTCAGAGCATAAACTACCACGTCGTTGTAGGACTGAGTAGATGAGTCCGCGGTCGTGCCATCGCTCCACTCCGTGTGGCGACGCTTCGACCACCGCCCAGGAGGCCGTAGCATGTGACACGTCTCGTCGCTACCTGGAAGGGTACAAGAAAGGAAACACACAAAAAAACACAGACACAAATTAATCGTCGGATCCCAGGGGAATGAAGGAATATGTGGGAAGCGGGGGGGAAGACGGCAACCCAGAAAGTATTGAAAATATATGGGAATCCTGGCATGTGCGTTTATTGATTCCCCACGTGTTTCGTGGGGTTTTCGTTTTCTTCTTTCCCGCATCCCACCCGCGAAGCTCACCTCACCTCGCCTCACCTCACCTCACCTCGTCTCCCTCTCCGTTTCGGGTTCGCAAAGCATGGCAAGAGTGGCACTTCCTCGACACCAGCGGGAGTGCGTTGGGGGGTGCGGCATTTCCTCGACGCCACTGGGGGTGCGCTGGGGGTGGGGGCCCTATGCGTTGCAGGCTCGCAGGACGTGGCAGGCGTGGCATTTCCTCGACGCCACAGGGGGGGCGCTAGGGGTGGGGGTCCTATGCGCTGCAGGCTCGCAGGGCGTGGCAGGCGCGGCATTCCCTCGACGCCACAGGGGGTGCGCTGGGGGTGGGGGCCCTATGCGCTGCAGGCTCGCAGGGCGTGGCGGGCGCGGCATTCCCTCGACGCCACAGGGGGTGCGCTGGGGGTGGGGGCCCTATGCGTTGCAGGCTCGCAGGGCGTGGCAGGCGTGGCATTTCCTCGACGCCACAGGGGGGCACTGGGGGTGGGGGCCCTATGCGCTGCAGGCTCGCAGGGCGTGGCAGGCGTGGCATCCCCTCGACGCCACAGGGGGTGCGCTGGGGGTGGGGGCCTATGCGCTGCAGGCTTGCAGGGCGTGGCAGGCGTGGCGTTTCCTCGACGCCACGGGGGGCGCGCTGGGGGTGGGAACTCGTGTCTTGTCAAGAAATGTAAACACGTTGGCTCAAGCCGGCTCGGCGCGCCTGCGCTCTCACGCAGGCGCGCTCCTGTAGTCCTACTTCAGAGCACCGCCTTGCCTGCGCGCGGCAGCCATGCCCCCAAAAATCGCCGCGGACGCCCTGCCACCTCCATGTTCGGCGATGAAGACTGCAATGGTTCAGATGGGCGGCGAGTTTAGCGTGGATACCTCGCGCAGATGCGCCAACGGAGTGGTGCAGTCCGTTTTGAACGCGTACCGCCGCCAGCTTAACAATTGGTGGCCCCATACGCTCTACGCGAGGTACTCCGAGATGAACGACGACGGCAAGAGGCAGTGCTTGGCGTCGTGCCTGCAGAACCCTGCGTCGGGCGGATTCCGCCAGGAGGCTCTTTTAGACGACGGCGGCGGCCCGCCGGTAAGGGTTCGACGAGCGCGCGAGGCCTGCAGCGCGGCTGCTGACGCAGAGGCCCCCGCCGCAGCGCTTGCCACGCCCATGAAGGCTACGCCGACGAAGGCCCCGCCCTTGCAGAGTTGCCCTCCGCAGCGGTCCCCGGCCTTACTGGCGGCTACCTCTCTATCCGTTTCGGGCTCGCAGGGCGCGGCAGACGAATGCGACGAGAGCGAAGACGAGTGCGACAAGCACGATGTGGGGTTCCTCGGTAGCGCAATTTGTGCGCTTCCGGGCCCCTTGAAGGATTTCGCCCTCAACCGCTGGCCCTTTCTATGTCATGGCGGGATATGCCAGAGCTGCGTTGGGATGCCTTGGCGCCGACTTGAAGCAATATCAGGACCTCATGCGAGGATGGCGGGTAGTCCTGACGTTACTCACAAAGGATCTCGGCCTCGAGGGCGCTAGCACATTGCTAGAAATCGCCGCCTCGGGGGCGCAATCGTTATGCAATGCACGCGGGGCGCGCGAATTCATTGTCACTTACCAGAGATTGTAGTTCTGGGTGCACGAATCTGAAATAGTTTGCGATCGTGGCATGGGGGGCGCGAGTGTAGCGCCATTTGCAAAAGGGTCGCCGCTTCGGGCGCGCAGATCCGGTCCGGTTCACGCGAGATCGCGGCCTCGGGAGCGCGAAGGAATTATAATTTACAAGAGGTCGCGGCCCCGGGGGCGCGAATTTGAAATAAGGTAGCCAGGGATCGTGGCCTCGAAAGCGCAAGTTTAGCGCTATGTAGAAGGATTATGCTTTCGGGGGCGCGAATCTGCTTTATTGTATCGCACGCCCTTCCAGGGGCAGGTACCGCCGCCCCGCCAGTTTTGGCTCCTGGAGACTCTGTGGGAGCGGCGGCCGCTCCGCGCGCGCGACTAGGAAATGCTCTGGTGTTGGTGCTGGCGCTTCCGCTTGGAGGCCTCGTGGGGTTCGATGGACAGGATATTGGGCTCCTCAACGAGCTCTCTGTCGTATGACCCTGAGCCCAGGACGGCCGCAGACAGGCTGGAGGAACTCGCGCCGAGGAATGCTTTTCACATGACCCTGAGGCTAGGACGGCTGCAGAGAGGCTGGAGAAGCTCAACAAAAACCGTCGGGTTCGTCCATGAGGGACTTGTGGAGGGGCCCAAAAAGGAATTGAAATGGGTCAAGCGATTTGGGGTGAACGATGAAAACAGGAAGGGGCAACAATCAGTCCGGGTTTGTTTGCGGCTCCTGGAAGAACCCCTGGAGGCTTTGACGGGGCGCCCCAGATGGGCGAAATACGGCGCCAAGAAGGCGGCCAGACGGCCCAAGATGGGTCCGAGAGGCTGTCAGGACGGTCGTAGAGAGCATGCCCGGGTTCTAAGATGGCCGCAAGAGCCAGCGGAGATGCACGGGAATTCCAAGAGAGGCGCAAGGAGAAGTGCGAGAAAACCAGAATCATCAACATCCGATGTGTGTTCACGATGTTTTTTGCTTGTTGGGGTGTTCTGGTGTATGTGGTCCGAAAAGAGGTGGAAGAGGCATTTGAAACGGCTAAAAGTGGCCTGAAGGAGGGTGGAAATGAGCCCAGGAGAGCCTCCGGACAGCCGGCCCAGTGGGCCCCTGGAGAGGTCTCTGAGAGCGCCTGGCGGCGCCTGGAAGACTAGCACGTGAAAGGGGGGTCGTCTTGGGACGGGAATGGCGGCCAGAAGGCGCCCCGGCCGCAGCTGGGGCCCCCGGGCCAGCAGAACGAGCGAGGCGCGGGGAGGACCTTAGGAGGGGCTGCGAGGGCTCAGAGGCAGGAGTAGATATGAAAAGCGCGCTGGAGAGACTTACACAAAGCACTATTGAAGACCACGCTGTGGATCTCACACGCCGCACCCGGTGGGGCGGCGCCTCGGGAGCGCGAGTCTGCTTTATTGCATCGCTTCGCTCATTCCGCCGGCCCGTATTGTG